CTTAAGCCAGTCAAATATGCGCTTTATGTATTCCCACCCTGATTTTACTGGCCCAAGATCAACCACAGTGACATCTGCCGGAAGGGGTACATTTTTAACGAATTTAAATCATTTTTCATTCAAAATTTTCAAGTTCAAAATTGATTTTACAGTCTATTGTCCCAGCAGCTGTGTCGATGCGACTACCTGTATTCTTCTACCATGGGTTTGCTGCTACCTATAATAATATCATGATCATATGTTAGCATGAGATAACATTGTATAATTTTTCAATGCTACAATAAGGAGGTAGAACAGCTTCGTACAACTACAGAAATTCCATATATTTTGATCATTTATCTCATACCTTTTGTCCATTTAAGGCAAATAGCGCGAAAGATAAATAAAATTCTCGGATGATCTCTCAAAAATACGATCCTACGTGTTCAATCTTTCAAATTCCATGGCAAAACTGGTTATTATCTTTAATTCGCGCCCCGCAATTTTAATTTCTTCAAATCCTTAATTTTAAAATATTTTGTTTTTATTTTACTTATTTTATATAAATACATACACAAAATTTGCAGAAGTCGGGCACACTTTAAAAAAATTGTAATCAGCTGTTGCTCTACCTTACCTTTTTATTGTACCATGGTACTATGTTACAATTAATTCATTGAAAAATCGTTCCCATATCAGATTTGTGTACATATAAAGGATTTTTGAATATATATATATATTTGACAATGAGGTAACCATAATTCAACCATGCGTACAATTATCGGCTGGCTTCATCGTAAACGAACAAATATGTATTATATTGTACCTTAACATCCAGAAAAAAATCTTCTTTACATACGTCACTTTAGCGCTTTTATCAAATGAAACTGTCGGCAACATTGTTTCGTTGACATTTGTTTATTCTCTGTCAGAGAGTTCGGTTGTATTCGGCACTTTGCCTGGCATAACACGCTCAAATTTGAGTGAAAAAATAAACATGAAATAAACTATTATTTGCCTGCCAAATAAATAAATAAAATGTGAGCCAGTGGATGTGGTGAATAAAAAGTATATATTCGTACCTATTATGTTATTATTTGTGCAAACAAAAACAACTGAAAGTGAATGCAGTACATGCTTCTTTTCTTAAGACAGCTGCAGAAATAAATAAGCTGGAAAACAGACAATTTCGTTCGTCCATAATGAAAGAAATGTTCAGGTAGAATATGTTGCTTCTGTATGAGCGTGTATGTGAATGTTTCGCGAAAAGGGCGAGTTTTTGAGTCTGCTAGCGTTGTTATGTACATAGATCAATTGTTCCATTGGTATGTATTTAGTATGTTCTATATTTTTGCCGGATGCACTGCACGTGAGAGTCGCAATTGTTTCTGAATATATTTAAATGGTAAAAAGTCAAAGAAAAATTGCAAGTTGTCATTAATAAATTAGCATAAAATGCTGAATTGAAAAAAAAAAAAAAAATGATTGGAAATTAAATTGTGAAAAAGTTTTAAAGAAATGTTAAGAATATTTATTGATTTGCCAATATAGTTTGAAGCAGGAATGATTGTCAAGTAACAATGGAAATTGCCAGCGTTTTATCATTCGGATAGTTTGTTTTAACTTACCGGTAATGAAAACATAGTGCTCCTCAAAACATTTAGAAATGAATAAAACATTTTCGCATGTATTGGTGTATTCTAAACCGGGAACATCTCCAGCGAAATTAACCAGAACATCTGTTAAAAGCTTAAACAAACTCAATTCAGGATTGTTTAGAATACTCACCAATCTATAAATGAATGGAAGAACATTTACGTGACTGAAGATCTGATGTCGAATAAAATAAACACGAACCTCCTTTACATGAACATTCCGCGTTGAATATTAACGAGCTTTGTCAGTAGACAAAAATATATACAGTGCTTGTAAGATCAACCAAATCAATGTGGTAACCTATGGCAGACTCCAATACCGGGTTCGCGACAAAATCTCCTTTTAACCAATGAAGGCAAATGCAGCCCCGAGCGACTTAACTGAGCGTAATTCTCTCCACACTCACAATCAGACCATTTCGGGTCCCATAACTCAAAAATGTAGTTCTAGTAACTCGAACGAAAAATGCCTATCCAACAAGTGGTCATATGATATGTTGGTTTCAATCGGTTCCGGACTACCCCTTGTGCAACATTGAAAGCTACATACTACATTATAGCCAATACTCTGGTCTTTCCAAAATGGTACCATATGTGTTGATATCTTTAGTTCCGAAGATATTAGTGAAGAAAATCATCAATCATCATTTAAATTCGAAATTTGTTACAATTCCGATGAATAATGTCTTACAAATCATAAAAATAACGAGTATAGAGAGGTACATATGAGGGCTATACGAGGACGTGAGCCTGCATACAAAAATTTTTGTCATAGGCTGCAGTAGCCATTACGAACTTCAAATTCGAAATTTGAAATAATTCCGGTAAATAGCGACATAATCATGAAAATATCGAATGTCGGGTGGTACCGTTATATAGGGGCTATAGGAAGACGTGGACCTGTATACAAACATTTTTGTCATGGGCTGTAGTACTCAATATGAACTTTAAATATGAAATTAAAAAAAAATTCGGTAAATACTTCCGCTAAAATCATGAAAATACCGAATATGGGGAGATACCTTTCTATCGGGGCTCTACGAAAACGTGGACCGACATGGCCATTTACGAACTTAACCTGCCTACTGGTAAACTATGCATGTAAGCAAAATTTTAGCCTTTTATCTCAATTCGTTCGAAAAATAGCGTCATATCGGTAGGTCTTCTTAGTTCTTCTAATTTTACGTTGATCCAGAATACATATACTTTATAGGGTCTGTAATAAATATTTCGAGGAGTTACATACGGAATGACAAAGTTAATATACCCTCCATAGAATGGTGCAGGGTATAACAAGAAGCTAGAGATATACTATTTGCACAATGGCTAATGATATGGAATAACTGTGTAAAGGATAGGTAGACTTTCAGATAATAACTCAATTGTAAAGTTGGATAAATAGAAAACATGGTGAACTAAATTCCTTTTCAACTCAAGTCCATTAATAATAGCCATTAAATTTGGTAGTTAGCTGCATCGTTTTCATTTAAAAGAGGAAGCAACCTTTGAAGACAATCCGGAAAACCTTTTCTGGTGCAAACCCTGGAAGAACAAACCCTGTAACGCATCGTCTCAGTTGTCCGCTGAGGATATGGTTAAGCGTATGTCGGGAAGTAAGGATATATGATCGCAGTACTCAAAGTCGTTAGAAAAAGTACTGAGAGAAAAATGATATAACCAAACAAGTGTGCATCCAACCTATAAACACAATTGAATGGAAATAACCTGAATGTCGCGTGATCGTTTCGCGAACTTTACCACGAAGTAATGTGAAATTGGTCCTGGCTGATTGTTCCAGTATGGGACCATAAATAGTGGCATATCATTACGTTCATAAAAAATCTCTTCAGCAATTCCCTATCACATTACAGGGAGAGATAAATAAACGGCAACAAAGTCAAACGCCATAATTTTTACATTTTTTTTTTCAATTCTATTGAATGAAAGCAAAAATGTCGGAAATAGCATCAAATTTTAGAATAAGTTTACATTTGTTCGAATTGGTCAGCTTTGGCACGAATTATGGTCTTCAAACGACCAATGAAACCGTCACACGCTGCCCGCTGCCAGCGAAGCGCTTGCTTGAGGTGATCGACACTTTGGTATTTTTTAGTGTCAAATTTGCTTTCCAAAATACTACAGACAAAAAAGTCCAACGGAGCGGTATCCGGAGATTTTGGTGGCCATTGTGTGCTGGATATGAAACGAGGAACCGTTCTTGGGCGGCACGAGCTGAGTCCTATTGGAATGTCCAAGGTCTGCGGCCAAAATGTTTGCGTGTCCAAGGCTTTAATAAACCCTCCAGAATATTTTCGGCATTTATTCTGATCCCACGGTCAATTAATACGAGCGGAGAGCGAGAACTGAAATGCAGTTCCCTACTTTCGACCAAGCGAAGCAACTCTTTAGCTCTTTTGTGTCTATTTTCTTTCTGTTGTGGTGTAGGTTCTTGCACTATTTGGAATTTCAATGACTTTACCCCGAGCTCATTTGTCATTATTTGCCGAACGGAATATTGTGATATGTTTAGCTCACGAGCCATTTTTCGGTCACTGCGACGCGGGTTCCTTTCGAACTATTTCTGCTGATGTTGCTGTTTTCTTCCTTGACGTCGGGCTACGCTACCACGGTAACAAGCGATGGTACGAGACACAAAAGATTTATTCACATTTAAATGATGGAGTGCTCTAACGATAGCCACCTGTGGTTTTCCAGCCAAATATAAAGAAATTACACTATCACGCTTGAATTCCATCACAAATATTTTTTCTGGAAAATTCTCACCAAAATGCTTTTGTACGCTTGTAAACAATATATATATTTAACAGCTGTCGGACGAGTGGCTTAGAAATGACAGCAGTCTGAAGTTGGTTGTAGTTTTTCATCTCACCCTGTAAATTACTCATGAAAAGATAGGATATTTCTGATCTAAAAACAAGTTATTGTTTGTAACCATCTTAGAATGTAATAAATTGAATGAGTATTGTGGACAAATGCTTGTTTCTATTCTGAGATTAATGTAAACATATAGAAAATAAGTGAACCATATCATGTATCCTTTAGAGCTATTCACACAGGCTTTATTTATTTAAGATATTATTACACGTTTTATCCCATAAATTGTAAGATAAGATGGAGAGCTATGTACTTATTGATATCAGAATTCCATGCATGAGGGTATCACAAAATACCAATTATTTATCAGTTTCTGTACATGATCAAATTGCATTGTTTATATCTTGACTTGATTGCCAGAAATCTTCAAGTCAAGGTGGACTTTTAAAAACCATTGAATTTTATTTAATACTATATTTTATTTTGTTTTTATAAATTATTTTAATTTTTTTTTTCTTAATTTTATTTCAGACTTTCAATGATGAACTATGCAGCTAGAACTATGTATGCTAAACAAATATAATTAGATAGCACGAAGACACCAAGTTTAATTGATTATATATTACATTATTCTGAGTCAAATATATAACAAAAATAATAACAAAATGACTGATGCACAATATGAGGCCAAATTTCAAGAAATGCAAAAATATCTACCCTTCATACAGAAGGTCATTGAAAAGCTTAAAGTTAACAATGATCAACGTAAGGATAATCCGCGCAAAGCGCAATTGGAGAAAATGGAAATGCTACACGGACTACTTACAAATAAGGCCAAAAAGTAAGTAAACAATTGCCAATTATGAATCTTAAAATAGTTGTCTGAACCAACCGAAACAGCATACACACAACGTCCTATTTAGGTCATTTTTAAATTTAAAAGTCCCCAGGGAAAAAAGTTAAACAACAATAATAACTCATGTTATCTCATAACTTATACAGAGGGTGTTTTGCCATTTAAATATGCCACCATAATAAGCTAACATGTTAGCTTAATGGGACCACCTATAAGGACAAATGTGTGTTTGCCCTAACCACCCCTTACTTATTATTAAGTGTGGAAATATACAGCGTGAGATAAAAAAACTGCAACAAAGTCAAACGCCATAATTTTTTTCTTTAAATTTTATTGAAAGAAATCAAAAAATGTCGGAAATAGCATCAAATTTTAGAATAAGTTTAGATTTGTTCCAACTGGCCACCTTTGGCATGAATTATGGCCTTCAAACGGCCAATAAAACCGTTCCAACGGCCAATGACACGTTCCCCGAATGTTGTTCTGTGGTATTTTGGCCAATTCCCGGCGAAGAACTTGCTTGAGATGATCGACACTTTTGGTATTTTTTAGTGCCAAACTTGCTTTCCAAAATACTCCAGACACAATAGTCCAACGGATTGGTATCCAAAGATTTTGGTGGCCATTGTGCGCTGGAAATGAAGCGAGGAATCTCATTTTGTAACCATTCTAGTTGGCGCGTGCTGAGGGCGATGTTGCTGAGTCCTGTTGGAATGTCCAAGGTCTGCGGCAGAATATTTTTGCGATAATATTCAGCATTTATTCTGATGCCACGGTCGATTAATACGAGCGGAGAGCGACTATCGGCTGTTATGGCGGCCCACACCATCATCATGGCCGGCGCTTGAGTTCTGGTGGCCAACCGAAGGTTCACATTTCCAGCTGACCTCTTTGGCAAGTAAACACAATAATTTTGTTTGTTTACAAACTGCTGGACAAAGAATGTTTTCTCATCGGAGAAAACCACTTTCGGCCAAGCAAAGCAACTCTTTAGCTCTTTTGAGTCTATTTTCTTTCTGTTGCGGTATAAGTTCTTGCACTTTTTGGAATTTCAATGGCTTTACCCCGAGCTTATTTTTCAATATTAGCCGAGCCATTTTTTCGGCTACTGCTACGCGTTTTTCGATCAAGTCGCTTCTTTACTTTTCGAACCATTTCTGCTGATGTTGCTGTTTTCTTCCGTCCACTTCCTTGACGTCGGGCTACGCCACCAGTATCACGGTAAAAGATTTATTCACATTCAAATGCTGGAGTGCTCTAACGATAGCCACTTGTGGTTTTCCAGCCAAATATAAAAAAATCAAACTGTCACGCTTAAATTCCATCACGAATAACTTTTTTTCTGGAAAATTTTCACCAAAATGCTTTTGTACGTTTGTAAACAATATAATGAGCTGTCACTGGAAGAGTTTTAACAGTTGTCGGACGGCTTGGAAATGACAGCAGTCTGAAGTTTGTTGCAGTTTATTCATCTCACCCTGTAAAGATGGTGAAATTAATGTTTTATGTGGCCAATGATTTATACAATATTGATTTGAATGATTATCTATCCCTCTCTCTCTCTTTTCAGGCTTAAAATGGAAACTCTATTAAAGTGTGAAGGTGTTTTAATCAAATTACATACTAAAATTGAAAAGGTAAGTATTATATAACTGTTTCCTGTTTTTAAAGAAAAAAAATACCACTCATTTTTTTAAATTAGAACTACTAAACTCACAATTATTTACTCTTAATCCAGACATTATGCTATAGTTTCATTAACTTTTTTCCATAAGCCTTTCCTTTGATGTACTTTGTATAAGAAATATGTATAAATAGGGAAGAGATTAGAACACTAATTGTTACCAATGGGCTGTTTTTCCTCCAACGACCTCGAACTCATAACTTACAATGACTGACGAAGGAATTTGGGCTCCTTTGAAGTAGTTTCTCTTGAATTATACACCTCCTTTACCTTGGTAAGAAATTGGAGTTTTTTTTTAAGGAATTGAAAGGTGAATCTTTAGGTTTTGCCCTCATGAGGAACTCGTTAAGATTTCACAACTGATGTGTACTTTGAGATACCTCCCAGATTTTACTTTAGAGCCGCATATAGTTCCTTACGAACATCCAAAGACCTCTCTTTAAGATTTATTCAGATAAGCTGTAATTCTCTACCATTTTACCTATTCTTTTCCCACGTTTTGATCGTACAATGAGAGTAATGACGACATTTTTTTCGAGACACTTCTAAAGCAGATTGGTTTCACACTTTACATCTAGAGACGGCATGACAAATCTTCAAAGAAAATTATTCCTAAATATAGGGAAGAATGTCTTCTTTAAGTAGACGGAAAGTATTCTCAAAGAATAAAGGAAAAGTATTCTCGAAAATGACAGGGAATTTATAGCAATAAAAAATAAAAACTCTTTTATTAATTTATTTTCTTAGCGACGACGAGAGTTCCTAGTCCCCTCTCGTGTAGGGGCACAAGTGTATGCTATAATATAAAGCCAAAACAAAAAAGTCCTCTCTGAGGAATTTATTTCTTACAGTGTACAAAAGTCGTTATAGTATCATTTTTTATTAATTTTTTATTTTTTCTTAATTTTTTCGTTTCGTTTTATGTTCATCTTTATTTTCACAACTCTATCTTGGCGAAATACCTTTGCATAAAAAATATAAAGCAGTCATCAATTTTTCAGGGTGAAGATATTGCAAATCCAAATAAAGTTGCTAGCAAACCTTCCACATCTACGTCATCTTCGTCATTATCTTCAAATACATCCAAGAAAAATGAAAAAGTAATCTCCTCCGCACCGGCAAGTCCATCACCAGATCGTTTGACAGGAGATAATCAAGATATCGAACCAGTAGTTATACCAACTGAGAGGCGTTCCTCACAAGATTCACTCGAAAAGGTCAAGCCAGCATTAAAGAGCTCTGAAGAAAAATCTAAAGAACACAAGTCTCGGGCGAATGATTCCAAGATTAAGCCACATCACCCTGCTGCAGTGAAGCAACAACCGAGGCCTTTACAAAAACAACCCATTTCAAGGGATTCGCCAAAATGTGTTGAACAACAACAACAACAGAGAAAACTGCAACCTGAGAAAAAAGATGTTGGTCAAAATAAAAGTGTTGAAGTTCGGAATAATGATGCAAAAGTAAAATCCAATAACAGTGCCGATGCCACAACTCCTAGCTTAAACCGACTTCATTCAGTTCAGAGTACTACTCATGGTCGAAATTCTCCACAAATTTCAGAACATCGTTTAAATAGGGACTCACACAATCATTCCACTATGAAACATCAACAACAACAGCAAAATCCACCAAAAATACCCAATACACCCTTACCTTCTGTTTCACAAACCGTAAAGGTGGTCATCACCGAACCATTACCTGCCAGCATAGCTCAGAGACATTTCCCCCCTTATCATCAACATCGTTATCAACAGCAGCCGCCACAACATCACTCACCTCCAGTTAGAAATTTTAACAACATTGAAATAAAGTTATCAGACGAAAAGTCTGACGAAGCCTACAATCCTGACGAGTCTTGGGAAAAATTCAACGAGGAACAAAGAAACAAATCTTTGAAAAATGTATTCAAACGTTTGGGAGATAAAATACCGGACGATAACTTGCCAAGCAGTAGTAGTAGTAGTACTGCAAGAACAACACTTCCAAAGTCATCTCCAATATCTATTCCGATAAAACAAAGTGCTTCCATACCGGAGGTCTTAAAGAGTCCACCCCTTTCAGCCTATGACATAAACAATCTGTTCAAAGAATCTGGAGGTGATGCAGCTGACATATCTGAAATTGGTTCAAGAAGACCCAAGAAAATGGAGAGTGAAGAGACATTGCCAATGAAAAATTCTTTGGATTTTGTGCGTCAAAAATTGGCACAGATTGCCAAAATTGGTTCGCCTCAAAACCGGGAATGTAATTCACCATCCACGGAGTCAAAGAGTAACAATCTTCCAAACACAAATCATCCAGTCACTTCCGGTCTAACGCAAGAGCGGCTCGCATTAAAGTATAATCCGCATCCCAGACAGGAACGTTTGCAATCTCTGTCCTCGAACGAGGGAAGTGAATGCAGTCAAATGTCAGCCACAAAAATTGGTAGCAATAGCAACGATCCTCGTATAAAGTTGAAAATGCAAGTATCGCCATCTTCTTCTACAGTGATGCCACCAAGTGGTGTGAACGTTCTGCCTGCAATAAATTCTAATGATCCACGACTAAAACGGCAGTCTTCGGTAAATACAGTTCCCATACCTAGCCTTGTGTCGAGTTCGTATGGGCCCAGAAATGACCCCCGAATTGCAAGGCAATTTTCTTCCCAATCCAATGAATTTCACACAAAGAGATTAAATGTATCACAACCTCATGTTGCACCTGAAGAAAATCGGGATTCGGAGCCAGAAGATGCATACAAAAACGATGCCAGGCATTCTATAGGAAGTGGAATGGCATTTGCGGGACCATTCTCTACCAGTGAAGCTGTGATTAATAAGGACCCAAGAAACAGCTGGGATATGCAACAAAGACCAAATGCTGCACCACCTATGCGTAGGAAAAGTTTGGGATATCGAGAGCCTGGAATTGATCAAATTTACAATGCAAATGTGGGGCATAATCGCGATATGGATAGAAATAGGATTTCCAATAGTGGCGATTTATCCCGAAATTGCAATTCAGCATTTACGCCATATCCCTACGGTGGAGTATCAAAGTCATATACAATGGATTCTTCACCTCCGCCCTTGGTGCCATTTTCACATTCCTCGTTGAGTGGTAGTCGTTTTACCCCCTCGATAAACGATAGCAAAGAAAGAATGCGTTATTTTGAATCTAAAAAATCAAAACATCATGTACCACGGACATATAGGGAATTTAAAGAGGCCAAAGAAAGGGCCCATGCATTAGAAGCAGCGGCCAAAGAAAGAGCAAAAGCTTTGGAAGCTGCAGATGCTGCTAAAAAAACATCCGAGGAATCTCAATCTTCGACGAACGTTAAGAAATCAGATGAACCGACAGAAAGTGCACAGAACAAAATATCAGATGAAAACTCTAGAAGAGATGAAGAGAAAAATAAAAATAAGACTGTCGGTGACAAAAACAGTAAAACCGCATCTGAAAAGAGCTCATCTCTTAAATCCCACGATTCTATACCAACAGCGCCAGCCGTCAAAGCAGGAGAATCTACATTAGACAAAATGTATAGAACACAAAATTTTAATGCTTCTCAATTTCCCAAAGCTACTTTGAGTTTTAAAATACCCAAAAAGAAGACTGCAGAGGAGCTGATGAAGGAAAAAGAAAAGTCACAACCATGCAAGGACAACAATGCTCCAGTTGATAAGAATCAAAATACGAAAGATAATAAGTCATTCAAAAACTCTGCTGGTCAGAAATCTAAAAACAAATTCAATAAATCAATTGAAAATGAGGATCTGGTTCCTAATGCTCCCAAAGAACATGATGAAGAAAATTGGGACGATGAAATGGGACAAGAACATATCCCCAATGAAAATTCAAAGGAAAAGAAAAACGCAACCAATGACGAGAAACCAGCCAATTCTCGAGATCCTCGTTGCAATGCTCAGAAGAAGAAGAAAGAAACTGATAAAGACCAAGTGATTGAAGATAAGAACAAAAACGTAACAAATGAGAAAAATAAAACGAATGAACCAAAGGACACTGAAAATGAAAACAACAGCATTGCAAAAAAACCTAGCGATAAACATACCAATTCAAGAGATCCTCGTTGCAGACCCAGAGATATAAAATCAACTGACAACGAGGAAAGCAGAGAAGAACAACAAAACAAAGAAAAAAGTACGGAGAAAGAAGCCGATAAAAATACCGGTGAGGCTGGAAAACAATTGTCCAATACTCAAAAGTTTTTAGAGCAAACCTCAACACTATCATTATTCTCCATAAATGAACTGATGCCTAAACGTATTATGCAACGACGCTGTACCATGGTTTCCATCGGAAGTGCTCCACTTGTTGACAAAGATAGTCTACTCAAGGCCAATGCCCTTATGTTGGAAGATGTGGAGCAAAGGGAAAAATTGAAACGCCAAAAAGAAGAGGATGAAAAACAAATCCAGAGACGTAACAAGAATTTGGCCGAAATGTTTCGAAAAACTGATGACAATTGTACGGTGTCTACACAAAACATTATCACTGGCAAACGAAGGACCCGAGCCACCATTAATTTCAATGAAACTGAAAATGCTAGGAAAGTTTTTAAACATTTGCAAAAGAAGGACGAAAGTAACACCCCGCCATCATCTGTTGCAAAAACATCAAAATCGAGAGCAAAGGCCAAAACTGTCGACGATGCAGAGACGACAATGGATACTAGCAAGGACGGTGTTTTAGATGAAATAGATTCAAATGAAGAAACGCAAGAAGAAAACAAAGCTGCAGAAAAGCAAACGGCAGAAAATAAGGAAGAAATTGCTAAATCAAAACTATCTCTAACAAAAGCTAAGAAACCCGTAGTGAGGTTATCATCTGCCGGCAATAAAAAGTGTCCACAAGTTTCCGAAACCAGCTCCGCAAAATCCCCACTTGAAGATGAATTGCCTACAACTTCCAAGAATGCCACCACAACAACATCAACTTCTGCTAATGACAGCAAAATACCATCATCCAAAGACGAGGAAGATCATCAGATTTGTACGGTATCCAGCACTTCTGCTGAATTGCCAAATGAGGAACAAGTTACCAATTCATATTCCGCTGGTAGTTTGAAACAAGAAGAAGCCGATGACAATGAACCCAGCAGCAGTGGCAGTAAGTCAAACCCACAAACACCCACACCACAAGAAGATGAAACAAGTCGCCAAGCCTTTTTAGATGAATTCGTGCAAGAAATTATAAAACCCAATGCGGATAAAACGCACATTCTTAGTTTGCTGGAACAAATTCTAAGTGAGGATAAGCTACAGATCATAAAATCAGCCATCGAGTCTACAGCAAAAACCAGAACGGAGGAAGAAGAATCATCTATCAAAGAAGACGTTGATGAACCCAAAAAGCGTAACATAACAAAAAATAAGAATCAAAGGACTGTTAAGAAAGCCAATAAACCACTTAAAAATACAGTTGAAACAGATGATGATGAGGAGGAGGAGGAGGAGGAGGAGGGGGAGGGGGAAGACCATGACAAAGGTCATGAAGAGGATTCTCCAAAATCATCCAAATCCGGTAGAAACACACCCAGCATTAAGAAAAAACGCAATGAATTGGAGCGACTAAATGATGATATACGTGATATGTTTATTTGTGAGGGTGTCCTAACTGCAACCGGCAAACGTATGTGCACTCTAATGAATAATCAAAACAATGAAAAGGCAGAGACAACCAATAAACGTTTTGTCCAACCAGCAACTCCGTCAGATGCAAATGAAAACAATAACAAACGAAGATCTGGGCGACTAAAGCCACCAGCCACAGCTGTTGAAGTTGCACCAAAACAAAGGCAACCTCTGAGAAGATCTCTCAGAGGCAACACCAAAACTGCAGAGCAAAATGAAGACGATGATACTGAAACCATAAATTCCAACGATACTTCAGATGAAACGGAAAGCATGGCAGATGAAACGGCCAATCCCGAAACAACACCAACAAGAAGGAAAATGCCTGTACTTAAACCCAACACTCCGATAAAGTTGCCCGAAGAGGTTGAGGTAGAAAAATTAAAACAAGATAATAATGGCAACAAACGAAAAGCCGCTAACAAACCCTGTCCGAAGAGCAAGAAACTCAAGTCCAAAAATAACGAGCCCGTTAAATCTGAAGATATTGAGGCCTCCGGCAGTGAGGATGAAAATGAAGATGATGAGGCCAATAGCTCTGCTACTGCAGCAGCCTTAGATGTTATTAGAAACACTAACGTCCATTGGCACAACCAATCCAAGTACACCAATTGGTGTATGCTTTGCGACAAGAGAATATTGGCCAAAGGCAGCTCTTTCCACTACAAATTAACTCACGGAGAGTGTTATATCTCTCGCTTTGCGCCGGTTCTAGCAGAAAAATACAAACAAGGCAACTTATGTCGACCCATGTTTGGTGTTGATCGTGGATGCAAAGCACCCTCGTGGTTCCATAGGTGCCCATTTTGTTTGCTTTACTTCAATACTACGATTGCACTGTGGTTAGAACATTTCCAAAATCATACCGCAGAATTCCGCTACGAATGCTCCAAATGTCATTGGGGTAATAATCGGCCACCAAGTATTAAACGACATATTGCTGGAAAGTGTAAGGCAGCCACTGTGGTTCATTCGGTGGTTAAACTTGAAGTTCCAACTGTGATAAAGGCTTATGTTTGTCATTTGTGCAACTTTTTGCAATTAAAACGGCCAAATTTGGAGAGGCACTATGTGGAGCAGCATTTATTGGATCCCAAGAATGCAGATTTATTGGGCTATACAATTACCATGTTTGATTGTACGGATGTGGAGCGTGTAAGCGAAGAAGAACAAACCCGAGAGTTAATTGCCAAGGAGGAGAAAGTAATTGATATTGAAGTGAAGGAGGAGAGTAGCAATAACAGCGAAGAAACAGATGACTCGAAAAAGGAAAAGGAAGATGACAGCGAGGGTAATAATTCGGAAAAGGAAACAGTTTCTAGTGAAAAAATGGAAGATACGACATCAAAAGATGAACCGAGTCTGGAGCATAATAAAGTTTCTCAAGCCGGTGATGATAAAACTGAGAAAAATAATATGTCTAAAACAGAGAATGTAGACAATGGCCCGACCTTGACAGCTGACCTTGATGAAAAATCTAAAGAAAAAGACATCTCATCTGAAAGTATCACAGATAAAACTCCCAAGCACACTGTAGAAACCATTTTCGAGAAGAACACAAATGAAGATAAAACTACTACTGAACTACTGAAAATTGTAGATACTTCCAAAATCAATAAAGACGCCGAAGGAAATTCTAAGACACCAACACCGGAAAAAGATGAAACACACACGCCTTCCCCTCTACCGACAACTCCAACAAGCAATGCTTCCACTCAGGCCAAAGTTAAAGTTTTTAACAAAACCCCATCTCCCAGAACCACTAAAGTGGCCAAGGTGTTGTCACCAACAAAAGTGCAAATTGTCACAACTCCAAGTAGCAGTGGTGAAATGCCAGGCAGAATTGTGGCTTCTATGAAAATGGTATTAGATGACGGTCCTTCAGAAACTAGCTCTAAACGAACGCCCTCTAAAGAGAATGATGTTGATCCTTTGCAAAGTGTCGCTGAAGAGCCTATTTTTACACCTAACAAACCAATCCATAAATTATCCGAAATAGTCAGCCCCTTAAAGACAAATGAATCACCATCCACTGTACGCATTGCCGCCCGAAAGTATACCTTAATTTTCGATGAGAACAATCCACATACATTGACAGCATCACCCACAAAGGGGAACACCTCTTCAAATTTTGATTGTGAAATAATCAGCGAAGCTTATGAAGCAAAAGAAATCCAGGATGAACTTTTGTCCTTGGCTGCCATGGCTGCTGCTGGAGAGGAACCCGAACAGGAAATCTGTGATCCCATGGAAATGCAAGATGAACTTTTGTCATTGGCTGCCCAGGCGGCTGCCCAGGAAGAAGCATCAAATATACAAGATGACAATAATGTATCCACCACTTCCGCAATAGAGGAGCAGCCTGTTGCCTCAACTCAACAATGTCCAACAAAAATGTCTGAAATAGTATCGAACACCATAGATTTGATATTCCAAAGTAACAAAAGGAAATCCGATGATGCTGTTACGGAAGGTCACCAAGATCAGCAAAATACAAATAAAAAACATTGTCCATCCGCTACGATAAACGATAAAGAGTCCAGTGTGTTTGTAGCTTCTCCAATTGCTGGCGAGAAGGATTCATCAGACATAAAAGTTTTGGCTTCCTCAATTGTTAGCATTGATAATCATGCAGAGGAGCAGGAAAATACCAAACATGTTGCTGCAACTACATCTATAGCTGAACGGTTAAGTCAACGACTTAAAGATTTTGAAAATGAGGCCAAAAACAAAGCAAAACCACCTGCCAATGCTGATGTATCTCCCAAAGATCAAAAACCAGAGGAACAAGCTGACATAAAAGAAAAGCTCGAAGAAAAAGTCAATATTGTGGAATCGTCTCAATCCAGAGCCAGTCCAAACGTTACGGTTATAAGTGACGATGAATGGGAAGATATTGAAGTTACAGAATCTGCACCCAATACCAACAGTTCCAATCAAAAATCCAAAAATAAAGGTCTATTTCAAAAGTTTGGTCTGTTCAAACCCAATGCAAGTAAATCGAAAAAACATATGGCACCCATTATTTTCTATCCAAAAAAGAAACCAACCAAAGAGAAAACGGTACAGCCTCACTCCAATTCATCGTCTCCAATAACAACTGGAAAATCTATGGAAACTGCCGCTACTTCTTCGCCTGTCACACAATTGGGCTTTAAATCTGTTATCAATATTATGGATGATCTTTTGCCAGATTCTCCCTGCAATGATCCCATTGATTTGGTACCCGAGCTAAGGCCTTTGGAACCTTTGACCGATCTGAATGACATTTCATCCATACTGGACTCTAATCTCAGTGTTATGGGTGGTGAGGCCAGTATACAAATCGATGAAAGTCACACTTGCATACAGGACGCATTAGATTTCATTACGGAACAGGCAACACAAGGAAGCGAATCTAGCACGTTACCAGATTCCCTGGCCACTGGTGCAAAGACACCCCGCACAAAACGAATTGAAAATGTGGGCTACTCCAAGAAAGATGGTGCTATTAAATTCTATTGTTTGTTGGAAAATTGTTCTTTTCTGTTTTCGAGCGATGCTATGGGCCTGGAGAATCACTTCCTCTGTGAGCATTCGCAAATGAAGTGGAAAGGTTATTGCGACATATGTCAAAGCCAGTGTTTTCCAAATGATCAGGAACAGACAATAAGACAAGAAATTAAACATATGGTAGACGAACATGCAAACAAGCCACAAATTGAGGCAAACTCTGATTCTAGTCAGGGTTGCGCCACTACTTTGGGTGTTGAAGAAAGGCCACGCATTAAATTGAGACGAATGACGGGCGATTGTTTATCCACTTCCAATTCAGAAAGTCCAACACATGGAGTCTCAGTATCAACCCCACCAACGGCCAACGTTGAACAACCCAATTCTCTTTTGGGCGCTTTATTGAATGCTAAACCTAAACCACCTACCAAAGAAATGCCGCCACAGCCGGAGATGCCATTGACCGAGCCTTTGCTAATCGATGATAAAATAACAAATGTTTGCAGTGATTTTTTGATAACATCTGTTACCTCAGCTGCCCTTATAGAGGAGAGTCCCCTTCAGATTTCAAGCGTAGTTAGTTTAAGTGAGCAAAATGCCGACAAGGATGCGCCTGCTGATTCCGCATCCCCATTGCCGAAGATTTCCAATGTCTGCACCCTCTCCGCCAAGAGTGCAGGAAATTTGTGGGCCCAACAAATCGAAGAAGAGAGACAAGAGCTAATGGATGCAGCTGCTGCCTCTTTGGAGGTATCGAATATTTTGGCAAATGCTCGGACACCTACATATCAAAGCCGTCAACTTCCTTCTACAGCTGATTCACCCGAACCAATAGTTGTGGCCGAAACTGTACCTGTTGCCCAGGCAACAACCGGTAATTTTGTTATAACACAAACTGTATCCACGCAATATGGCGACGATGCATCCTCAGCGGCGGTGGGTTTCAATATTTCTATAGAAGCCTCAGCATTGACAAACACTGCGTCTGCAAACACCGCAGAAAACATTGGACCTTCGTCGCAAACTCAGTCACCGTTGGTCGTAACTGAATCCACACCACCTTTACAGCTACTGAGCATACCTTCTGTGCGTCCATCAAATACACCGTCACTCACATCAAGGCAATATAAATGTATGGCCAATGGTTGTAAATTTAGCACACGTGTCCCCGTGGCCATGAGTGATCATTTACGTTTCCATGAAAGACGTAATCTAACAGCCCGGTGTGATTACTTTGCTTGTGGCTTTTGTATGTATCAGGCCAGCGACGTAGAGGATTATATGAAGCATTGTGATCAATATCACATAATCGGTAAAGGGAACAAACCACCGCCAGGAAGTAACGACCAAGGAAGTCCGGCAACTACAAACATATGTGATATTCTCAGTCGTAAAATGGAAACCACAAATGCTGCAAATCGAAATCTGAACTCATTGGCCGCAGCCAATGTGAATTCTGCGGCAAAACAAAAGCAAAGCGATGAAGAATATTTGCAAAAGTTGAGATCCACAATTGAGGAAATTGTTGCGCCCACCGGACTTCCAGGTAATGTTTCCCATTTTTTTTTTTTCTACTTTAACTGTAGTCTCTAACTTTGCTCTGCTCTCTGTTTCTTTCCATAGATGACAAACTATATCGTTGTGTGGTAAAAAACTGCCGCACACAATTAACCGAAGCTACTTTCCACAATCACATTATATTCCACATATCAACGTTGGGCCTTTCAAATCCCAATAATTATATTTTCAAATGTCCACATTGCACGGCTCAATATCATCGACCGGCTGGTATAAAGGCTCACATTAAAAATCATGCCAGAAATCGCTATTTCTGTTATCTGTGTGAGGAGACCTCAGCAAACGCAGGACAAATGCTAAAGCATTTTTCTGAAAGACATTGGCACACGCTGAATTTGTTCACCAAGGAATTGTTGAAGGCCAAAGTCGTCACTAATCCCGATGGCACAGAACAGATACAGGATTCTTGTTACTATTTGGTTTACACACAAGAGTTGAGCGAATCTGAGGTCAGGACATATGGTGAGAAGTTGATATTGGAATGGCAACGTAAAAAATCCGGCTCAAAGACCCATTTTAAATCCACCGAAATCGACCTCTTGCCCATCACACCCATTTTCCAACGTGAAATTAACTGTGGAGAATGCGAATACAAGACCAAAGTGCGCACGAATATGTATCGCCATCTGCTGATGCACAAACAAAATCCTAATTTAATCAATAACTCAAGTGGTCAAGCAGTGGTCGCGAGTGTAGATCCTGTTAATCCTGTACCATGTTTGAATAGCAATGAAAAGTTTTTCGATAAAATGACAAACCTGGCATCGTCTTCACTGATACCACAGAGCTCGTCGCTTTCATCTGCTGGATCCAAAAATGCCTATAAAATTCCCCAGGCATTTGTGGTGGAATCGAATCGTTTCAAGTGTGGCATACCCGATTGTAATTACGTTACAATTAGTGAAGATATATTCCGTTCGCATTTATCCACTCTGCATGGTGCTGTCCAAAATTATCGTTGTCCATTTTGTCAAGAGGAAATATGCAAACGTGGCATGGCCGTGGACCGGGTCATTGGCCATTTACGTTTCCACACATCGACCATATACCGTTGTGATGAATGTAACTATATCCATTATCAGCGTTATGTTGTTGAGCGACATGCAAATGAAAAGCATGCCACTATGAAGGTGAATATTATACGGTATGATAGATCGGCCGAAAATGCGGAGGGTGTAATGTCGATAACACCGTTTGCAGGTAATTAATACAAATTAATTGAATTGCAATTCATTATGATATTTGTTTAGCAATATATTTGATGTTATACAAATATCTACTAAAATAGCTCATTATGTAGTTAGTAGTCCTTGTAGAGTGCTCGAAAAAGAAATGCTTATGAATTTTTCTGCTCATAAACTTGTTGTGCTTTTATAGTTTGAAATAAAAGCCAATGTTTGTTAATACTAAAGGTGTAAAGATTTATTGGATGATGAGCGTTCACAGCTACTAATTTAAAAAGAATGAAGAAGTTACAATGTAGTGAGTCAGACTCGAGTGACAGACAGAACAAGACTGAGCAAGCTGAAATGGCGGTAGCACGGCGTCCTATTATATGAGCGTTGCCGTATAGGATGTTGCAACATGAGATGCCATATTGTTAATGTGGGTTGCCCCAACAAAACTATAATGTAATCATTTAGTCTTACCTGATATTACGCATTTACCAGGTCACTCTTTTTATATCCTCAGCCATATAGCTAGATAGGAGGGTATATAGCATTAGATACGGTCAAAACGTGCCTAGTCGAAATAACGGTTTTAGACCCTAGGTCTCTTTGGACCAAATCCGTTTAAGAACATTTGGAGTCGATCTAGCTATGTCCGTCCGTGCGTCTGGCTGGCTGGCTGGTCCGCACGATAACTCTCAAAGGGAGTATCCGATTTGGTCCAAACTTGCCACATCGTAATATTTTTGTCAAAATTAGATCGAGTTCGGAGATGGGCAATATCGGTCCACTCCTTCTGGTCCCCCCCCCCCCCACACACAAAAGTTCGAAATTTTCAAAAAATATATTTTCTGCACAGAAAAAAGAAGCGAAAATCCATCAAGTGCCCCCTCCCCCCACAAAGGGTCAACATTTTGAATAATTACAACTCTTATAAAGTGTCAAACTTAGATCGAGTTCGGAGATAGGCAATATCGGTCCACTCCTTCTGGTACCCCCCCCCCCACCCCCCCACACAAAAGTTCGAAATTTTCAAAAAATATATTTTCTGCACAGAAAAATGAAGCGAAAATCCATCAAATGCCCCCTCCCCCCACAAAGGGTCAACATTTTGAATAATTACAACTCTTATTAAGTGTGATGTAAGAGTCCAATTGTCTTCAAATTTCACACATCCCAATAATTTTGTTAACCCAAGGACTGGTGTTAAGATGGAATATGTCGGTCCACTCCTTCTGGTAACTCCCCCACAAAAGACAAAAATTTAAAAAATATATATATTTTTTACAGAAAGAGAAGCGATAATCCGATTTTGCTCCAACTTTACAAATCCTTTTTTTCGTCAGTTCTAGGTCATGTGCAAAAATGAATAATATCGGTATACTCCATCAAGTGCCCCCTCCTCCCACAAAGGGTCAACATTTTGAACAATTACAACTCTTATAAAATGTGATGTAAGGGTCCGATTGTCATCTCATCTCATCATCTCATTTTTTTGATTGACCCAAGGTCCGGTGTGAAGATGGAATATATCGGTCCATTCCTTCAGGTACCTCCCCCACAAAAAGTCGAAATTTTTAAAAAAAAAATATTTTTTCAGCACAGAAAGTGAAGAAATGATCCAATTTTGCCCCAACTTTGCAAATCCTAATATTTAAATCAGTTCTAGGTCAGGTGCAAAAATGGATAATATCGGTCCACTTCATGAAGTACCTCCCCCACAAAAAGTCGACATTTTTAATATCCAGGGTTGTCATAAAACACGAAATTAACGTCCGATTCCATTTAGACTCTTCACATCTGAATATTTCTATCAACACAAGATCTGTTGTAAAGACGGTAGAGATCGGACCATTCGGTCGGTCAAAGTTTTGCATAACCAAAATGTTAATAAAATCCGAATTAAGCATTTGGTTCTCTTTATATTTCACATATCCCATTATTATTACTAACACAAGATCTGTTGTGAAGATGGGATATACCAGTCCACTGCTTCTGGTACCTTTCGCACAAAGGGTCAACATTTTGAATATCCATGAAGCTCATAAAAAGCGAAATTAACATCCGATTCCTTTCCAGACTTCTCCATATTTCCATCATCAATATGAATAATCATAACAAAAGTCGAAATTTATTTAAGTAATCGAACACAGGCTGAGGATATACATTTGTCGGCAAAACCGACCGATACTATTTTACTTGTTTATATTACTAACAAAACCCGGAAATCCCAGAAAACCCCAAAACCTAGATTTTGTTTCTAGCTACTAGATTTAAGAGAACCATTATTATTTATTAGTTGAGAATAGGAAATCTAAAGGTATATTATCACTCAATATTATTAGTATCATCATTGAGTTCGACATTCAAGTCTGCTTTTTAGTGTAGGTAATTTAATTTAACCCGCTGATTTAAGAAAACAAAACAAAATCACTATTGCAGTTTAGATCTCTCTTATGACAAGCAATTGTAAAATTTTCCCTTAAAGTTCCTGATGTAAATCCAGCATTCAATATTATATTTACACATTTCAAATGTTTCTAATCCGTTTTTTTTTTTTTTCTACATTTCAGGCAAAAAGTACAAAGAGAGCATTGATACAAATCAAGCCAATTTAACCACCTCATCAGCGACGACACCAACAACTGCATTACAGACTAATGAAAACACCTCGTCCGCATCTGCGAAATCCTCCAAAGGCAAGTCATGGAATTGTGATGTATGCAAATTTAAGGCCTCAACATTGACACAAATACAAAATCACTGTCAAAATGCCCATGGACAGAGTAATCCCTATCAGTGCATACATTGCCAATTCGGTTCACAACAACTCGTACAAGTTCTACATCATATCGATGACGTACATGCGGGTAAGGCAAGAAATGTTCGAAATATTTATCATCGGAATAATAATGATGCGGCGGGAGATGCTGTCGACACCAGACCTTTGTGGCAACGTAATGACCCAACACGCATACGCCACATACGCGGCATATTAATGGAAGATGAAGAGGAATCAGAAAAACATCGCAAAAGCTTGGGTCTAGATAAGGTTGCCGACGATGAGGACGACGAGGCGGAGGACGATGAGGAAGAAACGAGCCATAAAAACTTCATTAAGGGTTATGAATTCGGTTGCCAACATTGCCAATATAAATGCGAAAAATTCGATATTTTGTATTCCGATCATCACCGGAATGTCCATAGCCTGCCAATAGAATCTACTAAACCATTTATGTTTCGGTTATTGAATCGTGTTTGTTGCCCGGTTTGCCGAAAATTTACCGGCAATTTTTACGAAATGCAAGTTCATTTGCTAAACGTTCATTTCACACGCAATTATTATGCGGCCGACATATCCATTGCCGAAACTGATGACAATACCCAACGTTTAGTTTGTGGTTATTGCACAACATTCCACTGCTCCAAACCCGACCAACTGATGAAACATTTTCGCGGTAAAGAGGGACATGCTCCGCAGGATGTTAACATTAAAAATATGGACCATCTTGCTGATATTTTAAAGCTGGGTGGCAATGAAACCTACTATCAATGTACCCTTTGTTTCCAGTTGTTTGGTAGTCGTGTTGCCATAGTCCAGCATGCAATCACGGCGCACGCCAATGACGAGGGCTTCTCGTTTAAGGAACTAAATAAGGAAATTATCTATCAATGTCCGTTCTGTCATCACAGCTCTACCACGGAAATTGACCTATTGCGACATATGACCGATCATTATGGTAATTTTAAAAGATGCACTTTTTGCCTTGCTGAACAGGTGTCGTTTGAACGCTGTATGCAACATTGTTATGCCGAACACCGTGAGGAAATAAGCCGCTTCAAAGAAATCTATCCTTTGCATACACTGGAGCAATTTTGGGCAGATATGTTTGTTATTTTTCCGAATGGCTTGGTAATATCTAAGAAAAATCTGAAAAATACCAAATATGGTGATGTAGGAATCATACATAGGTTATATGAAGATTTGTATAAGATATCACAGCAGCCTCCCATACCACGTTTGTCCATAGCCCGGCTTGTGGCAAGGAAGTCCATAGAGACTCATCATAAACCAAAATCGGGAAATTCTTCACCACAGTATTCGGCTGCAGAGGAAGCGAATATTGCAGCACCGCAACCCCAGCAGCCAAAGAAAATAGCAAAACGTCGCTGTACAGTTATATCAACGTCCGGTCATTCAGAGGACATAAATAGTGGTGGTAATCGTTGTGGTGTGGCACCCAAACGTAAACCCGGTTCGGTCGAGGAACATGAAAGTTCCTCAAATCAATCAAGCGAATTTAATATGCCATCAACAACACAGGCTATGCGTATTAAGAAGCGACGTTGTACCATTGCCTCGGACAACAATGACAAATTGCCAACATCATCAGCATCATCCTCGTCATCTCCATCTCCATTTCCCTCACCGCAACATTATGCCACCGATGATGAGCTAGTTGTAAGCAAAAAATCAAAACTATCCATTGCCCCAGCTCAGCACAACTCCCCATCCCTAGATTTAGAACCATTTTCCTATTACGGTATTAAACCAGAATCAATAGATTTATCTAAAATCTATACCAAAGTAGCTATAGGCGGTATTAATACACCCTTAACCTTAGATAAGTTTAGACTGTTATTTAATATTGATTGTCGACTGAAACTTACAAAAGTCCAGTGTAAAAAGGACGATAATGATAATAACACAGTGCCGAACTATTTGGAATACAAACACGTTAAAAAAGCTTGTCCGGCTAGCCATAAAATGAAGTTTTCATAAAGAACTGGATCAAAAACAAACACTTTTTATACTTTTCAAATCGAGTCTAAAACTTTCCTGAATTAGTTCTACACACATTTTTTTTGGAATTTTCTTAGAATTTAAGACACAAAAATTCCTATGGAAAGGAGTTTTCTTTTTGTAGAAAAAACAAGAAAGAAACAAACCTTAGATTTAAGATGTTGTCTAAGAACAAGTGTATATAATCAAAATACATACAAATCATTATCGGATTAATATAATTATACTTTTTTAATTATTTAGATAATATTTCAGCATTGTTTTTTACCAGAACATACAATTTGTTTTTGTTGGGACTGCATATGTTAAAAACAAGTCCTGCTTTTCATGTTATAGTTTTTAAGTTATTTTTTATTATTAATTTTACTCACACAAAAAAGGCAACATGTCATTCTTGAATTTTTAGCAATTAATTTTATATTAAGTTTTTTTTTTATTTAAAAAAACATTAATATTTTATTGAAATAAATGTACATAAGTTATCATTAAAATGCAAAAAAAAGAATGTTTAATGTAATATATTATTCGTTATTTAAAGTTTTGATGGTGTGCTACTAACCCAGTTCCGTCTGATTTATATTCTGCAGACATTCTTAATGGCTCAGAGTAAACGTGGCAGTGTGTAAAGTGGTGTTGAGTATTGTATTGTTTAGTGTATCGAATAAAACGCATTCAAAATTGTGAAGTTAACGACAATTATATCAAACAAAAAATATGTGAAATTGAAAAGAAGTTTTTCAGAATCGTGGAACTATATAAACTTTATGTATGAAAAATCTGCACTGAGATGAAAAAACTGCAAACAACTTCAGACTGCTGTCATTTCCAAGCCACTCGTCAGACAGCTGTTAAAATTAATCCACTGACAGCTTTTTATATTGTTTACAAGCGTACAAAAGCATTTTTGTGAGAATTTTCCAGAAAAAAAGTTATTCGCGATGGAATTCAAGCGTGATAGTGTAATTTCTTTTTATTTGGCTGGGAAACCACAAGTGGCTATCGTTAGAGCACTCCAGCATTTAAACGTGAATAAATCTTTGGTGTCTCGTACCATCGCTCGTTACCGTGATTCTGGTAGCGTAGCCCGACGTCAAGGAAGTGGACGGAAGAAAACAGCAACATCAGCAGAAATGGTTCGAAAAGTAAGAAGCGATCTGATCAAAACCCGCGTCGTAGTGAGCTGAACATAACGCAATATTCCATTCAGCAAACATTGAAAAATGAGCTCGGAGCCTCAAAGCCATTGAAATTCCAAAAAAGTGCAAGAATGTACACCGGAACAGAAAGAAAATAGGCTCAAAAGAGCTTAAGAGCTGCTTCGCTTGGCCGAAAGTAGTGAACTGCCGAACTTGGTTTTCTCCGATGAGGAAACATTCGTTGTCTAGCAGTTTGTAAACAAACAATGAACATGTTTAGTTGCCAAAAAGGTCAGCTGAAAATGTGCACCTTCGGCTGGCCACCAGAACTGAAGCGCCGGCCATGGTTGCTCTTGTAGCAATAGTACATGGTACCAGCTCCAGGTTTAGAAATTCGGCTACTTTAATGGGCTGTAATCAGAGATCTTCTGGAGTGAGTTGGATAGGTTTGGCTGTAAAATTAAACAGGTACAGCGTATTGTGCGGGCCTGTATCACACGCCGGGCAGACGTCACGCACATCTTCATCAATTTGTGCCCAATACGAATTGAGGCGACTACACGATTCTGAACGAAATTGCGCCAAAACTACCCTGGTTTGTCTAGGCAGCTGATGTTCTTCAGCTGCATTGGATGGGGGTGAACTCCGAGAACGGCATTCATTTTATAACTGCTAATAGCATCTGCGACTGCATCGGTATGAATGCCACTAAGACCTGCTTGATAGGTTTTGATCTAGAGGTTCTCTCTTCGCAATTCCACGGCAGCGGGTTCTACGATACCGGATTGACTTGAAACAAACACATCCCAGTTTCGGCCAGCGTGGCAGCCGCTGTATGTACATGTTTGTGTTTGTTTATTTTTCTGCCGGCCATGGCGATGGTGTTGGCCGCCATAACAGCCGATAATCGCTCTCCGCTCGTATTAATCGACCGTGGTATCAGAATAAATGCCGAATATTATCGCGAAAATATTCTGGAGGGTGATTAAGGCCTTGGGCACGCAAACATTTTGGCCTCAGACCTTGGGCATTCTAACAAGACTCAGCACCATAGCACTCAGCACGCGCCACCAAAGAATGGTTACAAAATGAGGTTCCTCGCTTCATTTCCAGCGCACAACGGCCACCAAAATCTCCGGATACCACTCCATTGGACTATTGTGTCTGGAGTATTTTGGAAAGCATGGTTGGCACTAAAAAATACCAAAAGTGTTGATCAACTCAAGCAAGCGCTTCCCCGGGAATTTGGCCAAGATACCGCAGAGCAAAATTCGAGCAACGTGTGACGTTTTTATTGGCCGTTTAAAGGCCATAATTCGTACCAAAGGTGGCCAATTCGTACAAATCTGAAAAAATTCCGGTAAATAATTTCGCTAAAATCATGAAAATACCGAATATCGGGAGGTACCTTTATATTGGGGCTGTACGAAGACGGAATTTTTTTCCCATAGGTTGTAGTAACCATTAACATCTCCCAATACAAAATTTGAAACGATTCCGGTGAATAATGTTGCTGAAATCATCAAAATAACGAATATTGAGAGCTACCATTACATGGGGGCTTTACGAAGACGAGGACCTGCATACAAAAAATGTTTGTCATAGGCTGTAGTACCCATTGCGAACTTCAAATACGAAATTTGAAATAATTCCGGTAAATATTGTCGCTAAAATCATGAAAATACCGAATATAGGGGCTTTGCGAAAACATGGGCCAACATTGCCCATTAACGAACTTAACCTGCCTACTGATAAACTATACATGTATGCGAAATTTTAGCCTTCGATCTCAATTCGTTCGAAAGATGGCGTGATTACAACAAACAGACAGACGAACATCGCTAGACCATCTTAGAATTTTACGCTGATCCAGAATATATATACTTTGAAGGGTCTGTTATAAATATTTCGAGGAGTTACAAACGGAATGACAAAGTTAATATACCCTCCATAGAATGGTGGAAAATTAAAAATTATGGCGTTTGACTTTGTTGCAGTTTTTTTCATCTCACCCTGTATATCAAAAATGAGTTGCAAAGGACAAAATTAGAGTTTGAGTGGAGTGAAATTAACCGAGGCCTTGATATTTTGAGTGCTGTGAGTTATGTCCACATTTGAATTGAATCGTGGAAGTATGCAATCTCCAGAATAACAATTTATGCTGCAGCACCTACCACCACATATTGCTGTTGCAGTTCCGGAAAATGCACCATTTCTGCAATTTAGCTACAATGGTACAAGTAGTAGATCAATGAAAGTGAATATTATGAGTCCGAAGAATATCAAGGTCACTGCGACATAGGAAATAAAGCAATCTGCAGCTTCCTAAATTGAAGAGAAAGAATAGCTTCAGAGTTGACGGTGGGGATTAGCATTCCTATCGCACCATTTGTTTAGTATGGAACTATCTCCCGATGGTGTTAGAAGTAAGCTCAATGAAATATTGAACGTTATGAATCCGAAGAATATCAAGGTCGCTGCGATCCAGGAAACAAAGCAGCCTGCAGGCTCCAAAGTTGTGTTGGGTACAACGTATTGGAAAGGGATCGCCCCCAGAGTTGGGGGTGGGAATAGCATTGTGCTCCATTTCATGTCCTTAACATTAGTTCTCTCTTCAAAGATAAAACCGTATGGGGTATGACACTGATTGAGCATATCAATAACTCGACGTTTAGCACAATGAAGGAGGACGTATACACCACTACAAGGAGAGACTGACCTATCTCACTGGTCATATCCAAGTCTTGCGAGCGACGTATCCTCACAGTTCTCCTGCGTCAGACCACCTCTCCATTATCATCTCCATCAATTGAACACCGAACTACAAAATTTCTGAACGCCACACATACCTTAACCATGAAACAGCTAATTGGCAACAGGTAAAAAAACCCGCTTCAGAAAACCTCCCGACCCATCTGCTATTCTGGTAGCAGGTAGGTGTTTCTGGGAAATCATCACTGCTGTTGCCGCCTGTAATATTCCTGCTGTCTAATAATTAATACCAAATTTTCCAGCAAAGGCGGTGGGATTAGCAAATAAGCATGATGGATTTGTCGCACAACCTGAAGTTGATACGTTTGTGAACATAAGCGGAAAAAGTGTTTAGGCTATTTGATGGGTTGCAACAACAGTCGCTCTCGAACCATAGGAAACAGGATGATAGGAAGAATGTCGCTAGTAACAACGTAGAGGTGGCCGATTTAAAACACAGTTCATAAAGTACAGCGAGTTGTGTGCGACCTCTTCCAGTCGAGGAGATAACACTACAATTCATGTTTTCATATATTGCTGATATTGGTCGAAGCTTGTTGTTACCCACCTTATAGTTCCATATCCCTAAAATATGGTCAAAAGATGTTCTCGCCACTGAGGCTTGGAAAAGATACCAGCCAAGGAAACCCTTGAAAGCCAAAAGATGTTCTCACCACTAAGGCTTGGAAAAGATGCCAGCCAAGGAAACTCTTTAAAGCCTAGACCACTTGACGCTTTACTTTTTTCTACATCAGGAGAAAACAGCACAACAACATCTTTCCACAAAAAAATAAGAAGGGACTTAACCACAACAGGACAAGTGATGGGAGGCGCTTGTTTTATTATTTGTGAAAAGCATTGAAATGTTGGGCGCCAATCGTGTGTTAAACTTTGGGAGTTCGCCCATTCACTCCTAGACCACTTTTGTCACTTGACACTTTACTTTTTCTCTACATCAGGAGAAAACAGCACAACAACATCTTTCCACAAAAAATAACAAGGGACTTAACCAGAACAGGACAAGAAATGGGAGGTGTTTGTTTTATTATTTGTGAAAATCATTGTAACGTTGGGCGCCAATCGTTACTTTTGAGGGTCTTCATACAATCACTTTCTGAGTTGATTTATGCATGAGTTGATAATGCAGGTCTCATTTATAATCCGATTATGATGAAATTTTGCACAAATCATTTGTTTGGCCCAAGGACGAACCCTATTGAAATTGGAGATAATCGGTCAAAATTAAGATATAGCTCCCATATATATCTTCGTCCGATTTGCCTTTTATAGTGCACCAAACGTGATATATCAGCCCGAATTGTATGGAATTTTGCATCTACACCCAAATTAGGCCTGAAAATAAGTATGCCAAATTTGATCGAAATCGGTTCAGATATAGCTATAGCTCCCATATATATCGTTCATCCGATTTGGTATTTTTGTCCTCCGCAGTCGTAATATGCACTCTGTAACAACAATATTTGGGGAATTATATCAAATGCAGCTCAGAAATACATTTGCTAAATTTTACCGAGATCGGTTCAGATTTGGATATATCTCCCATTTATAACTTCGTCGGATTTA